AAACTACTCCATTCATGGGCACCTGGGTGGCTCAGTAGGTTAAGCTTCCGAGTTTTGATTTTGGTTCAGGTCGTCATAGCATGGTCCTGGGATTGAGCTCCATGTCAAGCTCAGCACTGTCAGCCCAGTGATTAGGATTCTCTCTCTCCCTCTCTCTCTGCCCCTCCCCTCTTCTCAAAAATAATAAATATAAATAAATAAATATTAAAAATGACTCCATTGCTTAAGAAACCTCCTGCCTTTTGTTTCAATCAATGGAGTTGATTTCAATATCTCTTCCTTATTGCAACAGTCTTGAATAAAGATTTTCTTGTCTATTTAATTTTTTTCAGTACAATCTGTCTTTGACAAAGATTTTGCCAGAGTTGCCACATAATATTTCCACCTATTGACTAGAATTTTGGTGGTAGGCCACCGGGAAATGTAGTCTTTCTTTTGAATATCCACATATTAAGTAAAAAATGTTATTATTGTGAAAGAAAAAAGACATTTCGAGCTGACAGTAATTTCCATGCAACCATTTACTTAGTAACTTATCATGTGCAAAACAAACAAACAAACAAACAAAAACAAGAGGTGAATGTTATTTTTTGGCAGTTTTAAAAATACGCAATACTATTTTCAATATTCCTTGTGTTTTGTGTCTTTCTTCTTTTGTACACTTACTTATCCTTCAAAATCTAGCTTCATAATTAAAAAATATATCTCTTCAATTGTTTTTTTTTTTTTTAATTTTCATGCCTTTGTTCACTAATGACATTGGACATTGTTTTTGTGTTGTGTTGAGGCATTTACATTCCTTCAGTTTTTAATTACTTCTCTTCCCCAGTGTCAGGAACGAAAGCCTCTGGATGACTCATGTTCACATTGTGTCATGTGTTCATCCTTGATCAATTATTGTGGTCAAAAGGATAGAATATGTTGTTTTTGTTTAACTTCAGGTTACAAATTCACCCCACCAAATAGGTTTATTTCACAAAACCTATTTAAGATTTACTCAAATTCAGTAAACCCTCATGGAAACAGGGGAAATGTACTGAAACTGATCTTTAAAAAAATTTTTTTTTAATGTTTATTTATTCTTGAGACAGAAACACAGGGGAGGGGCAGGGAGAGAGGGAGACACAGAATCTGGGACAGGCTCCAGGCTCTGAGCTGTCAGCACAGAACCCGATGCGGAGCTCTAACTCACGAACTGTGAGGTCATGACCTGAGCTGAAGTCAGACGCCCAACTGACTGAGCCACCCAGGCACCCTGAACCTGATCTTTAATGTTAATGTTTTAGGGTTTTCTTTTGCTCTTTGGTATCTCTCTGTCTCTTTGTTTTTGGTTCTGTCTTTATCTCCCTCCCTTCCCCCCTTGTTTATGAATGAACTGTACTGCTGGATTATTAAAGCTTTAATAAACTGGGTTTTTTAATTTAATTTTTAAATGTTTATTTTTGAGAGAGAGAGACAGAACACAAGTTGGGGAGGGGCAGAGAGAGACAGAGACACAGAATCTGAAGCAGGCTCCAGGGTCTGAGCTGTCAGCATAGAGCCTGACATGGGGCTTGAACCCACAAACTGTGAGATTATGACCTGAACTGAAATTGGATGCTCAACTGACTGAGCCACCCAGGCACCCCTTAATAAACTATTTTAATATGTGGTAAAAAAAAAAAAAAAACCTAACATTCCAGGGGTATTTTTGAAACCTTAACCCTCAAGGGCTTAAGGAAAGAAAGCAAGAAAGCAAGAAAGCAAGAAAGCAAGCAAGAAAGAAAATTCATTTATAACATTATTTATAAACATTAAAAAATTAAATTTAAACATTTAAAAAATTAAAACTGTGAGAAATGAATTTCTGTTGTTGATAAACCACACAGTTTACAGTATTTTGTTACAGCAGCCTGAACACACTAAGACAGTAGGATTGGCACCTTCCCCTGTGTTCCCATCTGTGAGGATCAAATGAGCTAGGCGCTGTGAGAAATACAAAGCTTGAGGCATGAGATGTCTGGAGTTCGGTTGGATTGAGCAATGGTGGCTGGTCCCCCTCTCCCCAGGGCAAAGTGACCACAGGGTATCAGAGCTTTAAATGTGCAAAGCATTTAGTCACAGAATTCTGTGTGGGTTCTTGGGTTTGGGGCTGGCGTAACTGCTCTGTAGGGGACCCCAATGCTCAGATGGTGCCATGGACCTCAAAGGCAGACCAAGGTCCCAGGCCTTGCAGACCCAAGGTCTGGAAGGAAGACTTTCCTTCCAGGAATGGAAGGAAGGGAGACCAAGAAGATACATTTGAAGGCTGCGGGTGGGGATGGCTGATCCTCCAGCTGTGAGTCCATCTGCCTTAGAAGTAATCCGTAGGGGGAGGAAGGGATCAGAACCCATGCATTGGGTGCAACCAGGGCTGTGTTCTCTGAACCCCACACCCCAACTTTTCCTGTGTTCCGATCCTAGCTCTTTCACCTCAGAGACTCCCGTCAGGTCCAAACCCTCCCCATCCTGCCTCCAGACAAGTCTGTAGAAAGAGTTTGCTTGAAAATCAGCTTTAATGCTCCTGATCCAAATTCGGGTCAGCCTGAAAATGCCCTTCTTCTTCTTCTTTTTTTATTTTTTATTTTATTTTATTTAAAAAAAAATTTTTTTTCAACGTTTATTTATTTTTGGGACAGAGAGAGACAGAGCACGAACGGGGGAGGGGCAGAGAGAGAGGGAGACACAGAATCGGAAACAGGCTCCAGGCTCTGAGCCATCAGCCCAGAGCCCGACGCGGGGCTCGAATTCACAGACCGCGAGATCGTGACCTGGCTGAAGTCGGACGCTTAACCGACTGCGCCACCCAGGCGCCCCATAGTTTATTTTATTTTTAAATGTTTTTATTTATTTTTTAGAGAGAGAGAGAGAGAGAGACTGAGCATGAGCAGGGGAGGGGCAGAGAGAAAGGGAGACACAGAATCCAAAGCAGGCTCCAGGCTCTGAGCTGTCAGCAGAGAGCCCAATGCAGGGCTTGAACTCACAAACCGTGAGATTATGACCTGAGCCAAAGTCAGATGCTTAACCAACTGAGCCATCCAGGTGCCCCCCCCCTTTTTTTTTTAAAGTTTATTTATTTTGAGAGAGAGAGACAGCATGAGCAGGGCAGGGGCAGAGAGAAAGGGAGAGAGAGAATCCCAAGCAGGCTCCACACTGTCAGCACAGAGCCCAACATGGGGCTCAAACCCACGAACCATGAGATCATGGCCTGAGCTGAAACCAAGAGTCAGGGGCTTAACCGACTGAGCCGCCCAGGTGCCCCCTGAAATTGCCCTTCTTGAGAGCACCAGGAAGGTGTGGGGGATGGAAGGTTTCCCCCTCAGGTCTTAATCAGCTGCGAGGTTGTGACTTGTGACTCAGACTAGGGAAGAGCTCAAAGACATCCTAAAATGGGAAGAAACAAGGAATTTTTAATGAATACACTGACTTCCGTCCCCATCCCTCCCCACCAAATTCAGAGCAAGTCTCCATAGCAGTCTTAATGTGAATAAGCCTTGAGACAAGGGACTCAGGCACTGTCAGACTACAGGCCTTTCCCTGGTCCCTATCTCTAATTCTATCTCCTTCAAGGGATTTTCCATTAGACACAGGGCTGGTTGGTCCCCTGAGCCTGAAGGAGAATGGCAGTTCCTTGTTTGCACACTTGATAGAACCATGGCAACCAGTCCCCATCACAGGGTCAGTCACAGGACCAATGATGCGGTCCAGCAACCAATCCAAGCTAAGGAGGGCTGGCTGCCATGGTGACAGAGATGGGGACCAGTTTTTTTGAAAGGGGTAAAAGGCTAGAGCACTTCTGAGGTGCAGGCTGCCTCTGGATGGAGTCCAGCTAAGAGGTTCCCAGCAACGCTGCCCCGATCTTCGTCTAAGGTACCACCAGATCCCACCTGGACAACTCAGTAGCCCCAGACAGTTCTACTTGGTTCTACTCTTGTCCATTTTATAATCCATTTTCCAGCAGTGTCACTATGTCTTTATAGAATGTTAATCATATCGCCTTTCTCTTGCTGATGATTTCCCACTACACTTTGAACAAAACCCAAACCCGTCTATAGACCTGAGTAGTCCTGAGCCTGTTCTGCTACCATTAGCCTGTTTTTTCTCCTAAGGAGTCCTGCAATCTCACCCGAGGGCAGTTGTATTTGTAATTCTCTCTGCCTTGGGGATTCTTCCTCCAGATCTTCCCCCGGCTGCTTCCAGGATGTCTTTTAGGTCAAAGTTCTAATGTCACCTCCTCAGGCTATCCTCAGTGTGGAGAAGTCTGATGTGTCAAGCAGCCCAACCTCTATGGGGACCCCGGAGAGGAAGGGTGGGGCTGCGGTGGGGGAAGGTTGGTGGGGGGACCTGGTCTGGCCCTGCTCTATGCCTGCCCACTCAGTTTCTCAGCTGTAAAGATGGATGGATAACTAAGAGGTGGGCAGTTTTCTACCTGGGCTCCAGAGAGCTCAAGGGGCCAAGGGGATGCCTGAGAACCTTCCCAGGTGACTTCCTCCACACCACTGAGAAGAGCAAGGGGGAGGCTGAAAGTGAGGCGCTCTGGGTACTCCTCTCCCATTTAAGGATCTTCATATCTATGTTTATATGTGTATGTATAAATGTGTGTGTGTGTGTGTGTGTGTGTGTGTATACTGGAAGAGAGAGAGAGGGAGAAATGTATACAGATACACGGCTATGGATGGATGGGCAAGGTGAGGATTTAGAGTCATGTCATATGCAAGATTTTCTTAGAAAACCAGGGAGCCCATATATATTTTTTAAGTTGTGAAACCTCTCAAGTAGATTTCTGCAGGCCCTTCAAGCTCTGTGACTGTGCTTGATCTTACAAAGCAAGAGTCCACTGCAGGCCCCCAGCCCCTTGCTGAAATCCTTGAAAAGCTGTCTGTGAGAGAGAAAGTGGGGGCGCCCTCCAGTGGGCAAAGGGAGAATTTCCCCTCAATCCAGCAACCGCTGGCATTTTTCATATATTGTCTTTGATCCACACAGCAACACCAGAAGGGTTGTCTTTATTACCATTCCCATTTTACAGATGTGGAAGAAGGGACTTGAAGAGCCTAGGTAATGTGTCCAAGGTCACGGCTGGGCAGTGGCAGGGTGAAGATTGGGCTGGTTCTGTTCTTTTCCATCCTCCAGGCCCTCTCTTCCAGAAGGTTCTCCATCAGTCTCAGTGAAATCATTCCTTACCAACCAATGTCTATCCCCTCCTTCACCCTGTCTCCCTCTGTAAACAGGCCCTTGGTGGGCTCAGCGTTCCTGGACAAGGACAGGCCCTCACCTGCAGTGGGGCCTTGCTGTGGTTGGTCATCTCTTGCTTGGTTCAGGACGTCGAAACCATTCTAGAGTTCAAGCATTGTTCCTTGCTCACCTTGGTCACTGGGCTCTGAGGGGAAGGAAAACAGGAGTCAAGGGTGAAGAGAAAATGGCAAAAAGGCCCAGAGGAAAAGAGATGATATCCAAATGAAGAATTTCAAAATCCCCGAGGGACTCTCACCTTAGGGAACAACAATTAGAGTTTCCCTTTGCACCTGTCCCTAGAAGGCAAAGACCAAGCCAGGGATACCACATAGTAGCCATGCATCCCAATTCCCTCCCTTTGTGGACATCACCAAGGTATCATGGGATTGCTTCTGGCTGAAACCAGACAGGCTCTCTCTTCATTCTACTCGCTGGACTTCTGACAGCTCCTACTGGCATCCCTGACACTCCTTCCCTTCCCAGTTGCTCCAGACACGTGCAGTGTGGACAGACCACAGGCCTCACACACCTCAGCGTGGTGGTTTTGGTGGGAAAGGCTGTCTACCCATCCCTCATGTAGGTCTCTGAGGCGTGGAGCCTGGGTATGTGCTCCATCTTCTGGGTCTTTACATCTTGAGTGACATCATCCTTCCAGAACAGTCCTGCAGAAAGAAAGGGAGGAGCGTGAGTTGACACTTGGGACAGTTGGATTGGCCTACCCCAGAAACCAGAGAGCTATTGGAATTTCTGCTTTCCGTAAAGTACGTAAGGGCCACGGGGCACTGGAGGCATCCAGAGACGGTCTGGGGTACAGGGCTTTGCCTTCTGCCCACCTCGGCACTGGAATCCCTGCTCTTACTGGTTCTGTGACCCTTAACTTAATTAACTGGGAGCTTAATTAAATTGGCCGAGCTTCAGTTTTCTCATCCATGAAATGATGAACCATTGTTGAGAGAATTACAGGAGGTAATCCATGTAAGTTTCTTAGCACGGTGCTTGGTGAGCGATAAGTAGCCAAATGTGAATTTAACAATCGTGCTGTTATGAGGACCAAATGGAAGTGGAGGACATACGCAGTGTTCCTAAAACTCTAAGGCATTGCTTGCACATCATACACTATGATCATTAATAGCAGTAATTCGAACTCCAAGCAGATCTCCCTTCTGAACCCTGCAATCATGAAACCCGGCTTTCAAGGAGGATCAGAAACGTTTCCCCAAGGAATCCCCTCCCATTCTGCACCCCCATCTGTCATGCTTCTATCTGCCATACACTCTGAGCTGTCTACTCCCCCAATTCAGAGTCTGGAATATGTGTACGGGAGGGAGAGGTTCTGACTGGGGACCCCATGATTCCTGGCCCTGAGCACTCGGATAGCACAGGGCAGAGGGGCATAGGGCTAGTCCCAAGGAGATGGATGTTGAACTCTTCCAGGGACTTCTAATTGCCTCTACTCTGCTCCTCTAAAGAAGGTAAGTAAGGGGTGCCTGGGTGGCTCAGTCAGTTGAGTGTCTGACTTTGGCTCAGGTCATGATCTTACGGTTTGGTTTGTGAGTTCGAGGCTAACATTGGTGGGGCAGGACCCGATGCACCGACATCTGTCAGCACAGAGCCCACTTTGGATCCTCTGTCTCTCCCCACCCCCACCTCCCCACTTGCACGCGCTCTCTCTCAAAAATAACAAATATTTTTTAAAAATAAAGAGAAGACAAGTGACAACAGCTTCCCCACGAAGGCTGGGAGACCACCACCCATCTTGCTCAGGGTCTGAGCAGGTGAGGCTCCAGAGGTGAGGATGAAGAGAAAAGTTCAGGCAGAGAAATCTGTGGAAGGAGCTTTTAATGTCAAGGTGGGGATCCCACAGCCCAGCCTCTCTCTTCCAGCTCTTCTGGTCTCACCTTGAGGCATGAGCCACTGAAGCACATCTTGCCAGTATCGGAAGACCAGCTCGACGACTCCTTGCCGGGACCTGGGTGGCTGCATGCCCACCTGGGGCTGTCCCTCTAAGGGTACAGAATGGCATTAGCAGGGAGCTTGGCCAAAAGCCTTCAAGAAGGCCTGGTTGCAGAAAAGCAGTACCCTCTCCACCATCAAGCTCAGGTGGGCGCCCCCCCCCCTTCCCAGTTATCAGCTCTCCCTCCATCACACCTTTTCCTCTTTACCCTCTGGGTCTCACTCACCCTTGGCACAGACTTCCAGGTAAGAGCAGAGTCTTCGGGCAAAGAGACAGCCTGTGGATGGACAGGTGAGCAGAGCCTCAGAGGGCTACAAAACTTGAATGGACAGACAGGCGGACAGCGTAGGGATGGGGGAAGAAGTTTGCTTCCTGGGTGGAGAGTTGGAAAGACTTCCAGAATCCTTGGAAGTATAAAGTCTGGGGGCTGGGTTCAGACTGTTAAGCCTTGGGATCCCAGGTTCTTATCCTGAAAGCCACAGTATACCCAGCTACACAATGTGAGGAATAACTTTTCTACCATACAGACCCCTCCTCAGTCCAGGTAGATGGGGTGGGAGTGGGGGGAAGTCCAGGAGGTGAAAGGGTTCAGGCATCTGCACAGGGCCTGACTCCCCTCCGCGCCCTTCCAGCACTCTGCAGAGCCCCAGGCCCGCGGGAAGCCCTCTGCATTGGTCTCCAAGTTCAAGGACGCGGGGGACAAGTGGAGAGGGAGGCACACGGCTGTGGGGAAGGCTAGGCGTCCTCCCGCAGACCCCCCCCCCCAACCTACCTCCCCAGGGAGGAGGGTAAGCCCAGGCACCTGGCTCCAGTCAGGCCTCATCCCGAGGTCAAGACTGGATGCCTGCGGCCAGGCTCCTTCCGTCTACCCCTCAGCGCTGGTACCTCCACCCTAGCCCTCCGCGTGCTTTTTCTCCCGTGGCTTCGTGGCCGGGATCTGTCACCTCCATTCCTCCTGCTGCACCCCTAATCTCCCCTGGGGCCCATTTCTCTTCCGTCCTACCGCCACCTTCCGATTTTTAACCGCCCCCCCCCCCCCCCGTCCCTGCCCCGTGCTTGCTGACTTTACCCACCCGACACGGTTCGCCCTGCTTCGTGCACCAACCGCTCCCGCAGCCCCCACTTCCCAGACCTTCCCCCAGCTTTCCTCCTGACCGTGGGGACTAATGGCGTCCCAGCCCCCAGGGCAGCTGCTCAACAGCAGGAAGCAAAGCATCAGACGCATCCCCGCAGGTCCCCGGGCCCCCCGCGCCCGCCGCGCCCGTTGCTGCATGGTTGCTCTGGCGCGCCGGCTCCACCGCTCCAACCGCCGCGGCCAAGGCCAGACCCCAGCGACAACTGCGAGCGCCCCTCTCCGGCAACTCGGCCAATGGCAGCGGCTGGTGACGAGGCCCCCAACCCCGGCTCTTCCCCGACTTGGCGACAGAGTTCTGCTACTAACAGTTGAATATTCATGTTTTCTGCCCATTTCTTCACTGGATTATTTGTTTTTCGGGTGTGGAGTTTGGTGAGTTCTTTATAGATTTTGGATACTAGCCCTTGTCGGATATGTCATTTGCAAATATCTTTTCCCGTTGGTTGCCTTTTAGTTTTGTTGATTGTTTCCTTTGCAGTGCAGAAGCTTTTTATCTTGATGAGGTCCCAATAATTCAATTTTGCTTTTAATTCCCTTTCCTTTGGAGATGTGTCAAGTAAGAAATTGCTGCGGCTGAGGTCAGAGAGGTTTTTTCCTGCTTTCTCCTCTAGGGTTTTGATAGTTTCCTGTCTCACATTCAGGTCCTTTATCCATTTTGAGTTTATTTTTGTGAATGGTGTAAGAAAGTGGTCTAGTTTCATTCTTCTGCATGTTGCTGTCCAGTTCTCCCAGCACCATTTGTTAAAGAGACTGTCTTTTTTCCATTGGATATTCTTTCCTGCTTTGTCAAAGATTAGCTGGCAATACTTTTGTGGGTCTAATTCTGGGGGTTCTATTCTATCCCATTGGTCTATGTATCTGTTTTTGTGCCAAAACCACGCTGTCTTGATGATTACAGCTTTGTAGTGGAGGCTAAAGTCTGGGATTGTGATGCCTCCTGCTTTGGTCTTCTTCAAAATTACTTTGGCTATTCGGGGCCTTTTGTGGTTCCATATGAATTTTAGGATTGCTTGTTCTAGTTTTGAGAAGAATGCTGGTGCAATTTTGATTGGGATTGCATTGAATGTGTAGATAGCTTTGGGTAATATTGACATTTTAACAGTATTTATTCTTCCATTCCATGAGCACGGAATGTTTTTCCATTTATTTATATCTTCTTCAATTTCCTTCATAAGCTTTCTATAGTTTTCAGCATACAGATCTTTTATGTCTTTGGTTAGGTTTATTCCTAGGTATTTTGTGATTCTGGGTGCATTTGTGAATGGGATCAGTTTCTTCATTTGTCTTTCTGTTGCTTCATTATTAGTGTATAAGAATGCAACTGATTTCTGTACATTGATTTGTATCCTGTGACTTTGCTGAATTCATGTATCAGTTCTAGCAGACTTTTGGTGGAGTCTGTTGGGTTTTCCTTGTATAATATGTCATCTGCAAAAAGTGAAAGCTTGACATCAGCTTTGCCAATTTTGATGCCTTTGATTTCCTTTTGTTGTCTGATTGCTGATGCTAGAACTTCCAACACTATGTTAAACAATAGCGGTGAGAGTGGACATCCCTGTCGTGTTCCTGATCTCCGGGGGAAAGCTCTCAGTTTTTCCCCATTGAGAATGATATCAGCTGTGGGCTTTTCATAAGTGGCTTTTATGATCTTTAAGTATGTTCCTTCTGTCCCGACTTTCTTGAGGGTTTTTATTCAGAAAGAATGCTGAATTTTGTCAAATGCCTTTTCTGCATCGATTGACAGGATCATATGGTTCTTTTCTTTTATTAATGTGATGTATCACATTGATTGATTTGCGAATGTTGAACCAGCCTTGCAGCTCAGGAATGAATCCCACTTGATCGTGGTGAATAATTCTTTTTATATGCTGTTGAATTTGATTTGCTAGTATCTTATTGAGAATTTTTGCATCCATATTCATCAGGGATATTGGCCTGTACTTCTCTTTTTTTGCTGGGTCTCTGTCTGGTTTAGGAATCAAAGTAATGCTGGCTTCATAGAATGAGTCTGGAAGTTTTCCTTCCCTTTCTATTTTTTGGAACAGCTTGAGAAGGATAGATATTATCTCTGCTTTAAATGTCTGGTAGAATTCCCCAGGGAAGCCATCTGGTCCTAGACTCTTATTTGTTGGGAGATTTTTGATAACTGATTCAATTTCTTCGCTGGTTATGGGTTTGTTCAAGTTTTCTATTTCTTCTGTTTGAGTTTGGGAAGTGTGTGGGTGCTTAGGAATTTGTCCATTTCTTCCAGGTTGTCCAGTTTGTTGGCATATAATTTTTCATAGTATTCCCTGATAATTGCTTGTATTTTTGAGGGATTGGTTTTAATAATTCTATTTTCATTCATAATTTTATCTAGTTGGGTCATCTCCCTTTTCTTTTTGAGAAGCCCGGCTAGAGGTTTATCAATTTTGTTTATTTTTTCAAAAAACCAACTCTTGCTTTCATTGATTTGCTCTACAGTTTTTTTAGATTCTATATTGTTTATTTCTGCTCTGATCTTTATTATTTCTCTTCTGCTGGGTTTGGGGTGTCTTTGCTGTTCTGCATCTGTTTCCTTTAGGTGTGCTGTTGGATTTTGTATTTGGGATTTTTCTTGTTTCTTGATTTAGGCCTGAATAGACACTTCTCTAAGGAAGACATCCAGATGGCCAATAGGCACATGAAAAGATGCTCAACGTCACTCCTCATCAGGGAAATACAAATCAAAACCACACTGAGATACCACCTCATGCCAGTCAGAGTGGCTAAAATGAACAAATCAGAAGACTATAGATGCTGAAGAGGATGTGGACAAATGGGAACCCTCTTGTAGTGTTGGTGGGAATGCACACTGGTGCAGCCACTCTGGAAAACAGTGTGGAGGTTCCTCAAAAAATTAAAAACAGATCTACCCTATGATCCAGCAATAGCACTGCTAGGAATTGACCCAAGGGATACAGGAGTGCTGATGCATAGGGGCACTTGTACCCCAATGTTCATAGCACTTTCAACAATAGCCAAATTATGGAAAGAGCCTAAATGTCCATCCACTGATGAATGGATAAAGAAATTGTGGTTTATATACACAATGGAATACTACTTGGCAATGAGAAAGAATGAAATCTGGCCTTTTATAGCAATGTGGATGGAACTGGAGAGTGTTGTGCTAAGTGAAATAAGTCATACAGAGAAAGACAGATACCATATGTTTTCACTCTTATGTGGATCCTGAGAAACTTAACAGAAGACCATGGGGGAGAGGAAGGGGGAAAAAAAAAGTTACAGAGAGGGAAGGAGGCAAACCATAAGAGGCTCTTAAAAACTGAGAATAAACTGAGGGTTGATGGGGGGTGGGAGGGAGGGGAAAGTGGGTGATGGGCATTGAGGAGGGCACCTGCTGGGATGAGCACTGGGTGTTGTATGGAAACCAATTTGACAACAAATTTCGTATCAAAAAAAAAAAAGAAAGCAGGAAGAGAAAACTAATTCATCACCTACGAAGGATCCTTCCTAAAATGAAGAGCTGATTTCCCTTGGGGTGCCTGGGTGGCTCAGCAGGTTGAGCACTGAGTTCAGCTCAGGTCAGGGTCCCATGGCTTGTGGATTTGAGCCCCATATCAGGCTCTGCACTGACAGTGTGGAGCCTGCTTGGGATTTTCTCTCTTTCCCTCTCTCTCTGCCCCTCCCCCACTACCAGTTTCTCTCAAAAATAAAGAACTTAAAAAAAGTAATTAAAAAAGCACTAAAAACAAACAAACAAACAAAAAACCACAGTTGAATAGCTGAATATACTTGACCCTTCCTCTAGAATCTCTTCTGGACACTCCCACCCTCCCATCCTCCCCCCCTCCCCAGAAGCACAACCTCCATCTCCTTGTCTCCAAGTGTTAAAGATGTGGGGAGGGGGCAGGGGGTGCTGCAAATCCTGTGTAATTGCAAATCTGTAACCAGCACCTGGCATAGTTCTTGAGAAGTAGGGTCCCCTACGTGGGTACTTCATAAGGTGGTGTGCTGGAGTAAGATCGCCTAGGGTCAGATCCAAATATGGGCAGTAGCCGTTTAACTTCTCTGGGCTCTAGTTCATCTCTAAGAGGAAGGTGATAATAGTATCTAGCTCACAGTCTTCCTAGAAGGATTAATTAGTTTAATATCCCATGAAGCATTTAGAAGTATGACCGGACTGGCACATAGTAAGTACTCAATTAACATTAGCCACGACTGTTCTCCCATTCTGCCTTTCTGTCATTGCTCCATGCCACCACCATTGTCCAAACCACCATCATCTCCTACCTGCTACTGAGACTGCATCTCATCTGGTTGCTTGGGATAACTGATAAATTATGGTGTGTTCCAGAAGCCTAGAAGAGGGTCTGGCACAGTCACTTGCAGGTGCTCAATAAATATATGTTTGAATATGTGTTGTTCCACTCTTGCCTCCCGATAATCTCTTTTATAAGCACCCGGAGGAGCTTTCTAAAATAGAAATTGAAGGATGTTTCTCCATTGCTTACCCCTCTTCCATGGCTCTCCTATGCTTTAGATTAACTGCTGAACCGCCTATAAGGTGTGCATGACCTAGTCCCATCTTCCTATCCAATCTATTTCCTTCTCTCCTCTTCCTCTCAGTGTTCCAGCCACACCAGCTTCCCCTCCATTTGTGAACCCCTGAGCCCTTCTCACAGACTGTTTCCTCCTCTGCCGCCCTTATGGTCGTCTCTTTGTTTCAGTATAAACACCACCCTTTCAGAGATGCGTTTCGCTGCTTCACTTTCCTCACAACACTTACCACTATTTATAATGACTTGTTCCTTCGTTTACTTGTTTATTGTTTAAGTTTATTTTTTATTTATTTTTGAGAGAGACAGAGACCACGTGAGTGGGGGAGGGGCAGAGAGAGGAGAGAAAGAATCCCAAGCAGGCTCTGCGCTGTCAGCACAGAGCCTGATCTGGGGTCTGAACTCATGAAACTGTGAGATCATGACCTGAGCCAAAACCAAAAGTTGGATGCTTAACTGACCGAGCCATCCAGGTGCCCCTACTTGTGTATTTCTGCCTCTTCACTGAACTGTAAGTTGCTGGGGAGAGGGGGAGGAGGGACCTGTCTGTTTCATTTACTGTCACACCCCCAGTGTCTAGCTCCAGACCTATCTCAGAGTGGATGCTCAATACATATTTGTTGAACAAATGAAAGAGACTCTGGGT